AATCTCCCCTAGCCTGGCTGGAGCTCCATGATCAGCCACAGCCGGGCGGAGAGCTGTGACTTGTCTCCAGTTCCCTCTGGTGCTCATGGAATTGGCAGTTAAAACCTATTACCCCGCCAACACAGAAGACAGACCTCAGGCGAAAGGACATGGTCCTAACACAGCCATGTTTGTGAAACAGGAAAGCAAGGGGAAAGAACCTCAGCCTGGCCTCTTCAAGCCTCCTGTCTTACCAGAGGGAACACTGGGAAGCAGCTCTTTGTAAACACTGCAGCAGCCCCTGGGAACAGGAAGAAGTCGGAAGGATTGTGGAGAAGTGAGCAGGGCACCAGTTTCGTGAGTGAAATCACAGATAAAATAGCCCTAGGATCTCTGTCATCATCATATGAGGCCCAGCACTCGTTTTTTTTGTTAGTTTGTTTGCTTTGTTTTTCTAGAATCTCTGAAACCCTTGACAAGCAACGTAAGAAAGTAGATTCTAAGAGGCCAGACCTTCTGGGGCAAGCCCTGACCTGCGGCTAAGGTTCCTCTAAGGTAGCCATCCTGATCTGTGTGTAAGGAGACACTCGGTCCCTCTTCCCCATTCCTTAGGAAATACCACATGCAGCCCTGAGAGCATTGTTACAAAAAAGGACGCCTATATTGATTGTACTTAACAACCCCGAAGTGGATAACTCATGCTTGCTCCTACAATTGCATTCAAAAACTAAATAAATAGACAAAGCTGTGCTTGGTCAAATGGTCTCTAAAGGAATGAATTCTGACTCTGGCTAGCAGGACAGAAACTTCCTTATGTCCTCACTCCCACAGAAAGGACCTCAACACTTAACGGGGCCAGGACCCCTCTTGGAAAAAGAGTAAAAGAACCTTTGCATGGCTGCCTGCGGGTCAGCTAAGCAACCACAGGTCATTCTGAAAGGCCTCTAGGACAAGTCCACAGCAACAACGAGGGAGGCCTGCTCTTGCTTACCGTATTTGAAAGTGTTTTCCTGGTCCTCTTCCCAAACGTCTTGTCCTGACTTGCCCTTCCATTCCATTTCCTCTATAGCCGTTCTCACTTCTCTGACCCCTGATTTTATTTCCTCGGCTGAAAAAGTGGCCGAGACCGAGGTTTCTTTCCCCTCAACCTCGCTCCTTCTTGATGGCACAATCTCTCTGTCCTTCCTCAGTTTCCCCTGGCTCCTCTTCAGTGTTTCCTCCTTTTTCTCGGCAGTCTTTTCTTTCCTAGGTTTTGCTGGTGATGGTTTTCTGTCAAGGCCCATGGCAATAATGCACCTGTAAGACATACCAGCATGAAGGCTTTATTAAACTTTATAGTAGGTTGGCAGAGCCACACTATAACTCATGCACACCGCATTCTAATAAAAACTAGGGGAAATATTCTACTTGTATACTCATACACTGATTTAAAATGAACCATTTTATTTTTATATGAAAACCTTGTATATGAACATAATTTTTTTCTTTGTATTTCAAGACAGGGTTTCTCTGTGTAGCTTTTGGAGGCTGTCCTGGAACTTGTTCTATAGGCCAGGCTGGATTCCAAATGCCCAGAGATCCACCTGCCTCTGCCCCTACCTCACCTCCCCCAGGGCTGGATTAAAGGTGTGTGCCACCACTGCCAGGCTGAACATATACATATCCTTAATTTTAATCACAATAACAAAACATTTTAAAACTCATCATTAACTAACCTTTATAGAAATCATGTCTTGAAGCCTCAGAGCACATAATATATATATATATATATATATATATATATATATATATGTGTATAGTGATTTTTTATATAAATATATAGGTACATAGGTAGTTATCCAATAGGCAGATGATAGATAGATAGACAGACAGACCATCTGTCCTTGGGTATTATATAACCAAGGGGCTGGAGAGGTAGTTAAAAATTTCAGAGTTTGGTTCCTCATAACCATCTAGCTTCAAGGAATCCAATATCCTCTTCTGGCCTCTGAGGGCACCTACACACATGTGCCATGCACTAACATATACACACACATGTACACATTAAATAAAGCTTTTAGACAAATACTTACTCAAATAATCAGGAAAAAAAAAGACGTTACTGTCTTTGAAATTCATTATTCTAAGAACATATTAACAACTTGCATTTACGGTTGATTCAAAATATGTGATTAGTTTTTAAGAAACAAAATCAGTCTACTGTTGTTGGTGTTCCCTTTAAGAAACATGGGAGTCACAGAACTGGGAAGGGACAAGTCCCCCAGAGCTCAGGTGAAGTGGGAGAGGACAGCGAATGGAGAGAGAAGTAGGAGAAAACCAGGAAGATTGAGCCTGGTTAGGAATAGAAGATAGGAAAGAGAGACAGAGACAGAGAGAGAGAACATAAAAGAGGGAGCCAATATTGGTTTGAAGATAAAATTGAACACAAAGAAAGGTCTAGGGAACTACAAGACTGCTCCCAACTAACAATCTCAGCTCCCGTGGAAAGGCTATCATAAATGCCCTTCCCGGAGAGTGAGATCAACAACTAAATTCTCCAAGGAGCCCTCAACTAATGTCTGTTGGAAACAGGAGCAAACACCCATACATAAACACTGAGTCAAACTAGAACCCAGATGCAAATGAAGAGGACAAGACCAGGCAGCAGAAACACATAGAGACAGCTTACCTGAACAAGGAGGAGCTAATGGGCCACCAGACTGATAGCTGGGAAGCCAGCATGGGACTGACTCAGGCCCCCCTGAATATGGGTCTCAGCCAGAAGGTCTGAGCAGTCTAAGGGACCTCAGACAGTGGAGCCAGGATGTATCCCTGGTGCACAAAAGGACTTTGCGAACATATCCCCAATGGAGGGATAACTGCCTTAATCTAGAGACAGGAGAGAAGCCCTAGTCCCTACTTCACAGGACCTGTCAGATCTACATGACCCCAACTGGATGGCATTCCCCTACATATGGAATTGGGTGGGGGAGGGGAGGATGTTTAGAGTGCATGTGAGAGGGCAGAGAGGGTAAAAGGGAGGGAGGAAGGGAAGAAGGGAGGGAGGGATGGAGGGAGAGAGGGAGAGGGAACTGGGATCGATATTGTAAAATAATAAATTAAAAACAAATGCTTTGACTCCAAAATTTAAGTTGAAGGACAAGTTACTGGGGAAAAGGATTTCTATTTTTGTTTCCACAGAAAATGAAAAGATGTGGATTCCTTCCAGACTAATGTGGTTCGATCACGCCAGACCACCAGAAACAGAGTACCAGGTGATCCTACATTCCAAACAGCTGGACAAAACAGCCCTACAGACTACAGCCAGGATTTCTGAATCTTCTTCGAATCCCCCAAGACAGCGCCCCTTACCAGCAGGAAGTAGTTTGGAAAGAATGACGCCCAAATTCCCAAATATTGTGTATAAATGTTTGTTTTCATTTAATTGGACTTTGTTATATAAAATAAAATAAGAAAAGAAAACTCAAAATGTAGTTCAGTAGCTAGATGTTACTGGCAGAGCCTCAGTCCAAATTAGTTTTATTCATTGCCATCCAGGCTCCCAAATAAAACTCATGCTTTAATAAAAAAAAAAAAAAAAAAAAAAAAAACCATGGGATTTTGTGTATTGTTTCCACATAATTCCCATGGTTGGGTTAAGGAAGGCCTTTTGGAGGCCTTCTCTGCAGTGTTCTGTGGATTCGCTGGCGGTAGCTTTTTTGTTCGTCAAGAATGGAAAGGAAACGATCTATACAAGTCATTGCAAGTCAACTTTGGTTTTGAACGTATTATCCAGATGTTAAACTGTTATAACACAAGTAGTGTGAACATACTGTCATATGTATATGTCTTTTTTCTATCTCTCAAGATGTTGTCAGACAAAAATTCCAACACTGATGATGCATGACAGAAATGATCATGATGACAAGTGTTCATTGAAATTTCACGTCGTCTGTAGCAAGTTGTTCGCTATGCATTCAAGTTACAGTTTTTTTTTATATGTATATTTTTAGGAATTCTTTTGTTGCTGTGGCTTAAATGTTGTATGTGGCTTAAATGTGTGCACATGCACCATGTAGGTATGGGTGCCCACAGAGCACAGGAGAACATACCAGGTTCCCTGGAGGGAGTACCAGTAGTTGTGACTTCCTGGTATGGGCGCTGGAACAGAGCCCAGGACCCTCAAGAGCAGCAAGTGCTTCTCCCCACCGAGCCAGGTCTCTAGCTCCATACCCAGTATCTTAAGGGATTCAATAAATTAAGACTTATCCCCACTGCACAAATGGGGAAACTGAGACAGGAAAAGTCCCATGCTTCCCGCCGACTTTCACCCCGCCAACTAGTGATTGAATACTGTGACTGTCCCACTAGACTCCACAGAGTTCTGCTGCCACATGTGGCCCTAGGGTGACGGGTGGCAAGCATATGCCCCTCTGGTGGGCACACCAGAGACCTCACACACATGTTCTTTCTGGGAAGGTGTCGTCCAGAGAAGCATCCTCCAAAGCCTGTGGAGGATGCACGGGAGTTTCTGAGGTCACCCATCTCTACAACCACCCCTCTCAAAACCATGAGTGTGCCTCGCTCCACGCCACACGATCTCAGGACTGCACCACTTGTGAGCAGGGCAGGCCAGAGGGGCTTGGAGCACAGCCCGGTCCAGTCAACAGAAACAATGATAATAAGGGTTAACTGCCTGGACCTGCACCAAATCCAAGGACAATTTCTTATGTACTCACCTTGCGTATATGTGGGTATATGTATGTGCGTATTGTGTGTGTGTGTGTGTCTGTCCGTCTGTCTCTGTGTGTCTGTGTGTGTGTGTCCGTGTGTCTATGTCTGTGTGTGTGGGTGTGTCTCTGTGTGTGTGTCTGTCTCTGTGTCTCTGTGTGTGTGTGTGTGTCTGTCTGTCTCTGTGTCTCTCTGTGTGTGTGTCTGTCTGTCTCTGTGTGTCTGTGTGTCTGTGTGTGTCTGTGTATCTTTGTGTGTGTGTCTGTCTGTCTGTGTCTGTGTGTCTGTGGGTCTGTGTGTGTGTGTGTGTCCATGTGTCTGTGTGTCCATGTGTCTGTGTCTGTGTGTCAGTCTGTGTCTGTGTGTCTGTGTGTGTGTGTGTCTGTCTGTCTGTCTCTGTGTGTCTGTGGGTCTGTGTGTGTGTGTGTCCATGTGTCTGTGTGTCCATGTGTCTGTGTCTGTGTGTGTGTCCGTGCGTCTGTGTCTGTGTGTGTGTCTGTCTGTCTCTGTGTCTGTGTGTCTGTCTCTGTGTGTCTGTGTCTGTATCTCTGTGTATCTGTGTGTGTATGTCCATGTCTGTGTGTGTGTGTGTCCGTGTGTCTGTCTCTGTGTGTCTGTGTGTGTGTCTGACTGTCTCTGTGTCTGTGTGTGTGTCCGTGCGTCTGTGTCTGTGTGTCTGTCTGTCTCTGTGTGTGTCTGTGTATCTTTGTGTGTGTGTCTGTCTGTCTCTGTCTGTGTGTCTGTGTCTGTGTGTGTGTGTCTGCCTCTCTCTGTGTGTCTGTGTCTATATCTCTGTGTCTCTGTGTGTATGTGTGTCCATGTGTCTGTGTGTGTGTGTGTCCGTGTGTCTGTCTCTGTGTGTCTGTGTGTCTGTCTGTCTGTCTCTGTGTGTCTGTGTCTGTATGTCTGTGCCTGTGTGTGTGTGTGTGTCCGTGTGTGTGTGTGTCCGTGTGTCTGTGTGTGTCCATGTGTCTGTGTGTGTCTGTGTGTCTGCGTGTAGATGTGTAGATACACACATGCCATGGTATGTGTGTGATTCAGAGAAAACCCTCCTCAGGTGTCCTGTGCCTTCCATGTGTACACAGGTGAGCTCCCCACGATCTAAGGGGCTAGCGCATGCCACCTGCATCCCGCTGGAGATGGAAAAGAGTGCACAGCTCGTCCGGTCTGTTGTAGCTTCAGTACAACACAGAGGTCCTCACACCTGGGCAGCCACTGAAATATCTCCAAGCCAAGTGCAACTTCCTAAACTGAAGGTTGTGCTGAACTTTCTGCCATTGCCAGTCTTCAAGCAGCATGGAAATTGCTCTTAATCAATTTCCCCAAAGAAGTAAGAACTGAGTTCTTTCACTAAACACGCCGACAGCTCCCTGTGTGGTGGCGCTGGCAGGACTTGCACTGCACATAAAGGTCAGGCATGAGGAGAAGAGAACCAAGAGTCTCGTCCAAATTAAGCAAGATAGGGGCTTTTCCCCATCACAATGATGCATTCAGTGCGTGGCTTTTCCCTGGATAAAGACACCACACATCTTCAGAGGATGCCCTTACAGCCTCACCTTCTGTGAAGACATTTCTTCGTTGGCCTGTGGAAACGGCAAAGCCTGAAACCTGTGATTCGCCGTTACTTGAATGTATGCTGTGGCTGCGTAAAGACCTTGAAACCTCCCTATTTCAAGCTCAGGCTTCCTGTAACCCATCTGCCAGAGGGAATTGGGCAAAGCGAGTAGCATCTGGCTCCCCCGTCACTGACTACCTCTTAACTTCCGAGTGTGATTCAAAGTATTGGTTCTAACTACTGGAGCTCAAATAAATTACTGGGACATGTGAAGACATCGCACGCAGAGTTGAGGAGACAGGACTGGAGACTTGGCCACCCATCCCTACCCATTCGTATCACTTGAGAGGACCTTTGCAGATAGGGAGACTGCAAAGGAGACTACTTCATTCACTGATGCCTTTGGAGAAAGGGGTTTTGAAGCTAATAAAGAAAAAAAAGTAACTATTCTCTAAGAGCTGTAAAAGTCACTTGAAGATGAAAGGCCTCAATCTTTAATCTCATAACTATTTTTACATCCTTAGAAAGAGATATAGATAGGCAAGCCACACATTAAAAAATCACAGAATTACACAGGGGTTAGAAAGCTCTGAGTAGGAGAATGGGTCTCAACAGTCATCTGATGGTGCTGGATCCTAGTCCTTCAAACAGAGTGCCCAGGGCTTAGAGGTCCAGTTTGCAATGATACAACAACTCTGGGAGAATATGCTGTGCATTAGTTTATTTTTCTCTTACTGAGGTAGAATCCCCAGTGAAAACCAGCACAGGGGAAGGAGTGAACTTGGCTGACAGGAACAGAGAAATGCAAGGAAGGACTGCCATTCAGAAATCAGAGGCCTCACAGTGTACCCACACCACGCAGGAGAACAGGAAGTGGAGCCAGGATGCAAAACCTCAAAGCACTTCCTCCAGGACACTCCCTTCCCTAAAGGGTCAATGGCTTTCCCAAACAGCAGCACAGCTCTATGTGTTCAAACGCAGGAGCCGGACACGACATTTCTCACGTAACACCCCGTCTTCACAGGGATGACAGAGGGTAAACTCGCTTATTTTCCGTAGAGCCCAGTGAAGATCTCTGAAATGATTTGCACACATCTGAACAGGAAACAGAAGGCTGTCCAGTGGGTGCTAAGTCCAGCCGGACGTTCTGAACTTTCACTCTCCTCGTCCCAACCTCAAGTGAGAAAAGTCTCTTTTTGTTTTGTTGTTTCTTGGTGTGTGTGTGTGTGTGTGTGTGTGTGAGAGTGCGTGTGTGTGAGTGCGTGTGTGTGTGTGTTCGTGTGTGCGCGTGTGCGTGCGTGTGTGAGTGCGTGTGTGTGCGAGTGCGTGTGTGTGTGCGAGTGTGTGTGTGTGTGTGTGTGTGTGGTATTTGTTGTTGTTGTTTGGGTTTTGTTTTGTTTTGCTTTGCTTTATCAAGACAGGGTTTCTTTGTATAACAGCCTGGCTGCTCTGGAACTCTGTACACCAGGCTGGCCTCAGATTCACAGAGATCCACCTAACTCTGCCTCCCAAGTGCTGGGATCAAAGGCATGCACCACCATCACCTGGAGAGAGAAGTCTTTCCTATTCTAGAAAATGAAAGGATTGGACAGAACTTCCTAGTTGGGGCCAGCACCCACCATCTAATAGCCACTGCACAGCTTTCTCTCCTCCTTTTATCAAGACTGAAAATCCTACTTGAACCCTGGATGGCAGTTTCTCAAGACTACCAAAGGGTTAAGCTTGTATCTTCAAGTTTCTTCCATGTGTCAGTACTAGCTATAAACATAAATCCATGCCATAATATCTCATCTTGAAAACTAAAAGGCCCTTCAAACCCTGTACAGTCTTGGGAACCATACTGCGGTAGAATATTATTTTAAGGTACGCTACTTTTGTTTGTGCTCTGGAACATTTAATGACGAAAACGTGTGTTTGAGTAAATAAAATTCACCTGCAGTCAGGAGGCTGGGTCAGCAACTAGCTGACAGGAAGTGGCCGGGAGGAGCCAGGCAAAGGGGTTTTTAAGGAAGGGCAGGGAGGTGCATGGAGGCTTCCGGAGAGAACTGAGGAAAAGGAGGTGAGTTACTTGCTATTCACCCTCTCTGAGGAGCAGAATTTCCACCTCAACCTTTGCATCACGAATTCTTTAGAGGGGCTGACTGAGCACCCTCCTCCATCCATCCCTCTGCTCCCTGGCTATGGGTACCTCTGCACATTCCTGTTGCTGTACTTCCTCGACCGTAATGGCCCTCACCTCACACCCTGGGCCAAACTAAAACCCTCCCTCCTGAAGCTCTTGTCAGACACTTGTTGATATGAGTGTGGAAACTTGGCACGCCCGCCTTCATGTAACCCCTTCTCCGTGGCACAAAGATCATCTGTCGGGATCCTCACGACCTTAAGAGCCCATCCCATGGCTTTATGAACACCACTACAAAACTGTCCTCAACTCTGGACATCTTACCTCACTTGCACTGTCTCACAGGACTCTAAAACTGCTTGTGTCTAAAACTAGAACCCCTTTCTTCTGCCTCTCCAACTGCGTCTTCCACAACTGAACTTAAATATGCACTAAACGCATATGTTTCCAGTTGCTCAAGACAAACCTCTTTTCTTTATTTTTGTATTTGTCTTTTGGTCTTCCTGGGACAAAGCAAGCATGGGTTGTGTGAACAGAGCAGGACATGAAGGGTGGCTGGCCTTCAGAGTCTTGGGATCTGCTTGTCTCTGCCTCCTAACACTGGAATTTTGTGTAGGTGCTGGGGATCTGAACGCACACAGCCATCATGCTTGAACGCACAGCAAGTGCTCTTACCCTGGGCCATCTCTCCAGGCCCTAGAACAAAAACGTTTGAGTCACCTTTGACTCTACTTTTTAAATGTATGCCAAGGCCCAGCCTTATAAACTCTACCATCAAAGCATGCAGCAAATCAAACCCTCTCCGTTCTTCCTGTCATTCCCTACTTCCTGGACCACAGCGACTTTGACTCTTCTCCATCTTTTCAAGTTTTCCCTTAGAAACCATCACAGACAGGATCATCACAGAGCATCTCCCAACACCTGCTATAGAGAGGCAGCTAACTTCAGTGTCAAAGCCAGAGGCCGTGGAAGAACTCCTGGACTCATTCCCACTGTCTCTCCAGTCTCTGCTAGCATTATTCCATCCATTACTTTGCTCTGATCACACAAGTTGAACACATCAAGAACACTGCTTTCTCTGTCCTACCCATAGATCTTCTAGTTGAAAAGCTGTTTGTAGGAAGAAAGCTTCTTTCATAGGGTTGCTTCTTGATTGTGTTACATTGAACAGCACCCCCCAACCTGGTCCTGCTCATTCCAGTAAATCTCCTGCCTTAGTTAGTGCTTAATTTTATTAGACCTGTATTGATCAGATTATTAGTATATTATTTCCTTCTGGGAAATGGAAACAGTGTTATCCTTTCATGAATGTTTTGTGTTCTAGTTTGATGTTTAGTCCATTATTCAGGAATATTTTGAGAAAAAAAAGCACAGTAAAAGAAGCCTCCAAGTATGTATGAGTCTAGACGCAGCCAGGGTGCCCTGCATGAAAGCTTATAGAAGGGAGCAGTCTTTACACCTAGTGTGGAAACCAGGGCAAAGAGATAAAATTAGGTAACCTAGGAGTGTGGACATGCTTCCAGCAAGCACAGCCTGGAGAATTCACACACACAGGCAGACGATGGCATGCCACATGGGTGTGGGAGTTTAGCCTTGGGCCATTAACAAGAATAACAAGAAAGAAATGAAGAAAGCTGGAATCTAAGGCAGTGTGAGGTAGAAGAGAGATGAGAATCCAGACGGAATTTAAAATGCCACAGCCTTCATCTCCACTATATAGTACATCTGGAAATCTGGTTTATGTTTCATAATTTCAGTAAAAACAGACATGGCTGTGGTCCACACCCTGCAACTTGTGTTTTTGAGATTGTATGTACTGATGTGTGTTCTTTGAGAACTGTGCAGAGAAAGGCATCAGTGAGGGGAAACATGGCCAAGTGGTTGATGGCGCTGGCAGCGGCCAGCCGTGTGCTCCGTACCTGTAGCAAGGAGAGGCCTTCTCCACGCTCACGAACCCGAAGTAGCCTCTCTTGCCTCCCAGCCTGGAGCTCCTGCGGTGTTTGTACTCACAGCAGGAGCTGAGCCTGTTCACCTGAATGCCGTTCAGAAAGAAGGTGAGGCTGAAGGGGAAGCCATGGTGCCGTTTGGAGATAAACTGAAAGGTTTCTGCAAATGAAAAACACACACTTCTGAGAGCACCTGCCTTCATATTGATGTGCAGCAAGTCACAGTTTCCTTCTCAAACAAAAAAATATTACGCTACAGAACATGCGTTTTATCCGAGAACTTTTCTTCAGTTGCGGGGGCGAAAGCAGGACGCCTCATGTGCTGGGCCATGTCTGTGCTGCCAAGCTCCGTTGGCCAAATGCATTCCTGTGAGCCTGTGAGCCCAGCCTGCATCCCCAGAGACTGTTTTCTCTCGAAAGCCCAGGGTGGGGCTCATGCTTATAATCTGAGCAATGGGGAGGCAAAGGCAGGCGCATCCCGGGGCTCACTGCCCAGCCAGCTTAGCTTACTAGGTGAGCTTCAGGGCAGTGAGAGACCCTGTCTCAAAGAAAGCAAGGTGGATGTCACCAGAGGAATGGCACCACACACATTCATACATGCTTGACAGTCCACACACACACACACACACACACACACACACACACACACCACAGATCTTCACATAACAAGTATTACATTTTGACTGAGGCATTAAGCATTCTAATCATAGTGCATATATTGGTGAGAAGCATTTCAACTCCAAGCTACACTTGCTTCTGTTTGCATTTGAGATTCTTTTTTTTTTCTCCCTACTTCTTAAAGCATCCTACCAAGAAATTAAGAATTGATGTTTGTGATACAGTTTTAATCACTCCAAATCTTTACAATTCTCTGTAACAAGGTCCTACCTAAGAGATGCTCTACATAAAATGACCCAGAGTCCTGCTGCACATGCCACTTCCAGGGGGCTCCCTGTCTCTGCGATGCATATATTACCTGACACAGTTCTCATTACAATCTGTTCAAATATGGCTGCACTGGAGGTTTTTAAACTTTAATGTGCAGTGGAACCACTTGGGGTGATGTTAAAAGACAGACAGCCAACCCTTTCCAAAGAGTTTCCCCGCTCAAAACAAAGCATTGCAGCAGAGCTGAGGACAAACTCTGGTTTCTTGCTTTAATTGTGCTTTCTTTAATTGTGTATTTCTAAAACCTGTGATAGGAATCATCTTGGTTCCTTCAGACCCTACTGCAATGGCAAAGGAGGCCCCAAATCATCTATTTGTGAGTCATTATTTTAGCCTCTGTCCTGTTGGGTTCTCGAGAGTGCCTGTGAGTATGCTACTGTGAGCCCTGGAAACTTCCTCACTCAAGTGCAATCTGTCTTTAAAAAAATAAATTAGACCTGAGAAAGTCCCATGCTGTTCATCTTAGCATTCAGGATGAGAATTTAAGCTAAGGAGAAGCTAAGAAACAAAGGCCTCAAAAGCATACCAGTCTTATTGGTAAACAGATTCCTCAATCACAGGCTAGGAAGACAGTTTAACCTCTTTACAGGTTGAATCTGTATCCACCTACCACAATCCCTTCATTCAGCTGCTTCCTTAGAACTCCCTAGGTACCCACCATGAGAAGGTACACTCAAAAAGCCCCAGGGAAGGGCTGGAGAGGTTGCTCAGCAGTCAAGAGTGCTTGCTGCTGTTTCAGAGGACCCGAGTTCAGTGTCCACACCAATCAGGTGGCTCACAACTACCTGGAACTCCAGCTCTGGAGTATCCAACACCCTCTGGGCCTCACTCAGCACCTCCACACAGGTGGACATACACACAACATAAAAATAAAACAAATATTTAAGGGAAAATTTAGGGGAAGGGCACAGCGAATCAAGTGCCAGACATGATAGCCCCCTGTCATAACTAATGATTTGACTATTTCGTCATTTCCAAACTTAATGAACAAGATTTTGTGCCCTTTGCCTTTAATCTCTGTTTTGTAATTTTATATCCTAACATATTTTTACTTTCCCCATCCCCGACTTTGTGACCTCTTCCTGGAGTAGTCGGAGGAATGCAGGCCGCAGGGCATGGAGTTTGAGTCCTTGTGCCCATCCTTCACAGATGAACTTGGAGATGACAGGGATGGAAGGCCCCCAGCCTATCCATGTCATAACATGTGACCTTAGAAAGAGCATTACAGTGTTTGCAAAGCCGAGATGTTTGCTGTTCACTGATGATAGGTACCACTGAGGTATTAAAGGAAAGAGAGATCCCTGAGTATAGATGGATGGATAGATTAGGTAGATGATAGATGATAGATGATAGATAGATAGATAGATAGATAGATGATAGATGATAGATAGATAGATAGATAGATGATAGATAGATAGATAGGTAGGTAGGTAGGTAGATAGATGATAGATAGATAGATAAATAGATGATAGATAGATAGATAGATGATAGATAGATAGATGATAGATAGATAGATAGATAGATAGATGATAGATAGATGATAGATAGATAGATAGATAGATAGATAGATAGATAGATAGATGATAGATAGATAGATAGATGATAGATGATAGATAGATAGATAGATAGATGATAGATAGATAGATGATAGATAGATAGATAGATAGATAGATAGATGATAGATGATAGATAGATAGATAGATAGATGATAGACACATAGATGAAGACACTTGTATATACAGAAGTCTCCTCCTTCAAGAATCTATAATTCAGCAACAGAAGAATAATACACTGGATTATGATGAATTAAGGGCATCCTCTCTCCTTAAAAATATGTCTTTGGAAATAGACCGACAACTAAGGTGGTCAGCATATAATTCATGTGAAAAAAGAAAACAAAAACAAACAAAAAGAGAAAAACATACTTCATGAGAAAGCAGAAAGAGCCTGTGGCCTTTGGCCTGGGGCTTCTCTAGCGTCGCACCTGCTGCAAGCTGACCAATGCTCTAAGTGGGTAGAGAATGGCGAAACACCCAGAAGGTTTCCGTCCTTGGAGCATGACATCATTTGGTGCAGGAGACAACAAACCCTTGGCCTATGATATTTCCACTAATAAGTAGCTGTCTCTGAGCAGCTCACCTGGAAGGTCAGAGGTTCCCAAAGACAAGAGCCTTAATTAGTGAAAGCAACAAGCCAGACCATAGCAGGGAGCCACTGGCAATTAGGCTGTCACAGAAGCCTTCCACAGAATTGGCCAGAATCGGGGAAGGTTTCTATCCTAAAGCTCTGCAAGAAACCCAACCTGGCATCTTCTTCACATTGGGTCTCAAGCCTCCAAACATAGAAGATAAATGTCCACTGTGTACACCATCTTTAAAAAGACCTCTGGGGAACCAATACCGCACAAATACATCAACTAGCAGAGGGTCTGAGCCTTTGCCAGGTCACAGATGAGTGTTGGCCTGTGAAATCAGACGCCAGCCTGAGAACTGGAAACTTGCTGCATCTCAGTTCTAAGGATGAGACTTCACACTGACTCCAAAACGCACATTATAGAAAAGTCAGAATAGCAAACTGTTCCCACACAAAGGCAAAGGGCAACCAAAACCACTCTAGCACTCTAAAGAAAAGAAATGGTGTGAGGATTCATCTCAGTTGTCATCCGAAATCAACGAAACTCAACCAGCTGGGAACTCCTGTGAGCTATTTTTTTTTTAAATCAGATTATTTGAAGCAGACTCAGTATATATCTGGACAGAACCTTCTGGTGGCAGCCCTGATCAAAGAGCGTGGAAGAAGGAAGCTTTGCTTGTTGCCTGCTTGCCCTCGCTCTTGTAAGCAAGTCTACCTAGACTTTGGATGAGACATCAACCCCTTCATTGGTGTTAGAGACACTTCTTCTTCGGGTTTCCTACTTAGATTGAAGACCAGCAGCTCTCCAGGATTCTCTAGGATGTCAGCACCAGATTGGGATTGCTGAAACATCCATTCTCATGGACTTCTAGACTTTCGGCCATTGTTGTATTACCCAGATCACAGACTATAAACCACTCTAATATATCCCATATGTCTATATACACATATCTGTGTGTGTGTGTGTGTGAGTGTGTGCGTGCACAAGCACGGGCACTCACACACATGTGTTATATCAGTTCTCTTCCTTTAGAACCTTGACTAACACAGATTGCAATATGTGTGTACACCAACATGCTACAGTACATCCTTGGAATCATTACTGTTATTATTATATTGTGTTGTTATTATTATTATTATATCCCAATCTGGACTCAACTGTGGAGCAGATACAATCACCTGTTCAACTGGCCTGCACTCAGCAAGGTCAGGAAAGTGACTACTGACTCAACAAGTCAAGAGAGAGGGGAAACAGGCAGGGAACAGACAAACAATGAAGAGTCTGAAACTTGAACAAAAAATGCCTGCAAATTTACACAATCCCTGAGTACCAATAGCTCGCACACATATAATAGATAGATGGCATGTCAAGTAATTTATATCTTGATAAAACTACCTCAAAAATAGCAATTGATATAAAACAAGAAAGAGTTGAGGAAGAGGGGAATGAGGTGGGAATACAGTAGAGATATTCCACTCTATATTTAGATAGGCTCCCAATGTAGCCATTAGCAAAACCCAGGAAAAGTCAGCTGAGAAGCAGAAAGGCTTCTGCCATACTCAATGGCTGAGTGGGATTTGAATTAAAGGGGAGAGAAGAGGCAACACCGCAGGCCAAGTAAACATCACAGGAGAAGAGGACCCTCTGTGGAAGAGGCTTGATATGGAAGGGAGGGAAGAGTAAGGTAGGACTGAGCTGTGATGCCTAAGAAACCCGAGTCAAGAGGTGGAGACGGTTAGAAGGCCAGAAAATCAATTTCACACTCTTTGCCTCCACAGGAGCCCTAGTTCCTTTTGTTTGAAGGGATGGATACACATGGCTTGGAGGAAACTGCAGTCCTTATGTGAAGCAGAAACATCCCAGGGGCTTCATAGATGCATAAAAATCAACTCATAGTGGCTCAGACTCTATAACCTAACTACAGTGAGTGCAGTGAATGACTTTGGTTATAAAAGGAAGCTCTCAGACCCATTTTCCCATGAATTTTTATTGTCATTCTTAATTTTCAAGAAGCAAGAAAAATTAGCAAATGTCATGTTTTAATGAGTGAATTATTCCAAAAGTATGAATGAAGTCTTTCATGTATTCTCCACAGAAACCTAAAAAACCTATTCACGTTTCACAGAATCACACATAACTAAGGGCAGAATCTTGATAGCCCGGATAAATCGCTCTGGTTACTGAAGCTCACGATAGCTTCCTAACAAACGGACTCTTCAGCCTTAAACAATTACTCTCCTAGTGCTAAGACAAGCTGAGACCAGATTAGAGCATGGATAGAACCAATGACTTCAGTCCTGCTCCATGCTGTTGTGTAAGATTATCGTGTCTCAACACAAAGACACAGGATCAGCACACATACCCAAGATAACCCATGCCCAGATGCACCTTCCTCTGCCAGCTTGGTCCGCCATGTGTCTTATTTACTAGGCCACCCAGATAGGACTCCATTTACATGTCACATTATATTTGTAGTTTTAAAAGTTTGGAACTGTTTCCCGTAGGGTCACTCAAGAATTCCATGTGTACGGAAGTCCTCTCCTAGCTCCTCAGTCTGTTTGGAGGCCCCCTACATAGTTATGAAAACTGACAGTGATTTCAAGAGAGAGCTTCCTATGCAAGCAAGGCCTAAACGTGGATTTGTAAGCATGCCCCCTTTCATCGCTGCTCTACTAAACTAAATATTAAAGGAACAACCACAGTGTGTGGGAATGTGTGTTAATAAAAATAGCTTATGCTGCCAAGTGTGAACTTAGAACCAAAGGAAAGAAAAGGTACTAAAAAGGACATTTAAAAAGTTTTGCAATTTTTTTCTCTGCATATATTCTAAAGAACAAATTGCCAGTTAGTAAATTTTCTCTTACAATAATAGCCTATAATATCAATCAATATAGCACACCAAAGAGTTAACATATGTGTGTGTGTGTGTGTGTGTGTGTGTGTGTGTGTGTGTGTGTGTGTGTGTTCCAAAACTAATCTGTTACCAGGTTAAAGAACTCCAAAATCTGTCTTCTACAATCTTCAGGGGTAATTGCTGCAGCTTCAGTTTTAATCAAGGAGCTGTGACTCTAGATTTACTTTTAGGCAGCTGTTTTATAATTCCCTGGATGTGCATAATTTCACAAAGTGGTTCAAGTCATTTTGATATTATGTCAACAACAGCTTATCTGGAACATCAACCCAAGCATTTTTTTTTTTTAATTTATGTTGACTTGTACCTTTCTCGAGCAGTTTGCCTTTGTAAATACAAAGGTTCTCTCCTCCACAGTGCTGTTGGTAAATCTTGATTTCATCTCGAAAGTCTGGATCATCATAAGATAGGTGCACATTCTTCCCAAAATAGACCATTGTGATAACTGCATTGCTATGTGGGGCCGCTTTATAAATCCTTCCCGTATCCTAGAATAGACAAAGCACAGACTTGTTGACTGTGTGTCTTCCCATGAGACAACCTGTCCCCACGTGACTTTATAATACGAAAAACAGACATAATCCCAAGCACCCCATAAAAACCAAAAAATAATTTACAAAGGGTCATTGCATACAATGTGTAAGAATCAGAAACATTTCTAAATAAATTCCTCTTGAGGATTTTAGCATCCAGATTTTGGCTTTGAGTTTTGTAAATGATAGGGATACGAACAAATTTTGTTATTTTCCACTTTATGTTCTCCTCTGTGTGTGTGTTAAAAGTTCTCCTCTGTATGTGTAGGTAGAAAGGACTTTGGACTCTTCCAGCTACTTTTCAAATAAAGATTCAAACGAACTGAAAATATACTGGTGTTGTTTTGGTTTGAGTTGATACTGATCATGAATGACATGGCAATAGTTTTTGAAATGACCACTTCATCTCTGTAAGTGAGTAAAGACAACAGTCTCTTGATTTATTCTACCTGAGGGTGCGTGGACACAATAACTCCTCCTGGGGTCCCTATAAGGATAGGTGATCATGTATGTCAAGTGCCTGGGATTATGATGTAGACTTCTAATTAGTTTCCCTGTTGAAGAAAACAGCTGATCAGCTACAACTAATCCCAAGAGTTGAGAGAAAATAAATTAGTCTCTCTTGAGTATGATGTTTGCAACAACAGTTCAGCTTGCTGTGTGGGTTACCTAAGATGATGGCAATGAGTTCTGTGATCATGCACCATTTATTTAACCTGATGTCCTTCATCTCTAAAGTTAAGGAAGTGTATGACCCTTTTAAGGCTTATTGTGCATATGGCATGTTAAACACTATAAGGGCTCACTAAATAGTAGATGTCATTAGTATCACCATGAAGAATAAATTTTCATATTTTGTTAAAAGTTCACAGAGCATATATAAAAGAACAGACAATTAAGTGAAAAAAGTAGGTAGTTTGAAAGTAAGTATATTTCCAGATGATAATACCATGGAATTAAGAATGAGCCAGAAGAAGCAGTAACCAGGCTGGCTTGACAGAGGTGGGAGAGAGGGCTGGAAGATGGGCAGAACTAAGATCTTGCCCATGAGTGGATGAACAAGTTTGACTTCTGACTATGATGTCTTTGCATCTTAGGCTGTACTGGCCGGGGGGGGGGGGGGGGGGGGAGACGATGTGAGAAGATGATGCTCTTCTCAGAACAGAGAAGAAAGACTCAAGGCTGAAGTCGAGATGATGCTCAGACTTGAGGGTGAGAACAAAATAAAGCCGAGGGAGTGAGAAAAGAAGGTAAGAGAAATGAGTCTGGCCAGCGGAGTGTCTGGAAGGGCAGACGCAAAGCTTTGGGGGAGACAGGGAGGAATAACCTGAGGGATGCTGCCAGAGAAATGTCACAACAAGGAATGTGATGGGGATAAATCATGAACGGAGCAGAATCAAACCAGTGTTCTCAACAAGAGCAACAAATACTCTTAACAATCGAGGCACCTCTCCAACCCCCAAATAAGTTATTTTATAACAGATGGCCAATGAATACCAAGGTCGTAGTTAAATATTGAGAACAAAAATTTCAATAGATTATGTGGGAAATAAAAATGAAGATTTCTGCAGCAAGAAAGGCGTCAAGACAAATAAATAGAAACAGGAGAGAAACGTTGATTGTTACAAAACTAAAAGGTAAAATGAGGAGTTATCCCTTAGCAGAAAGAATTCCAAAAAGGCAAAATAAAAAGAATTTCCAAAAGGAGAAACATAGGTATGCATACCTGTGTGTGCACGCATGTATGCGTGCATTGTGATTATCTGTGTGTGCATACATGCGTATAAGGGTGAATATAACTGTATTCATGCAACTCAAAAAAGATGAACATACTTCAGGAGAATAAAAACAGTGATGAATGAAATGAAGATGCCAATACAAGATATGAATGCAGAATTCCACGAGGGATACAATTAGTAAAGAAAGCCAGACTGGGACAATGCTGGAAATGAAAAGCTTAATAATACACAGTAAACATCACCAATTGAATAGACTGTGTAAAAATAGTGTCGGGGATAGAGAAAAAGTTAGAGAAATTAGATCAGACAGTTAAGGTAAATAAGTTTTAAATTATATAAAGAGAACAATGGAGAAATTCAGAACACCATGAAAAAACTAATTATCGTATTTTTAGATTATGGAAACAGAAAAAAAATTGTAATACCGATTGTATGAAAATATTTTCAAGGAAATTTTCAAACTTAGAGAAAGAGATGAGCATCTATATACAGACTGTAAGAACTCTAAATAGACTGAGAAGAAACTCCCTATGGGATATTACAGTAAAAATACTAAGAGCATTATTAGAAACTGACAGAAAGGTCAAATCAACGTCAACCAGAATAATTGTGATTACTCAGCAAAGTTTAGAAAGCTGTAAGGACCTAGAAAGAATATTCCACAATCCGAAATACCACAATTGCCAACTATTCTCCCCACCACAGCTATCCATTAAATATGAATGATAAATAAACATTTTCTATGATCACTATTCTAGCTCTACACAAAACAATTTGGTTTAGCAATGAGGAAAACCGCACCCAACACACAGGGGTCCCAGAGAATTAACAAACAATACCATAGCAGTTTATCAAGTGAGGTCTGAGAAAACTTCATACAATCAACAAAATGACAGGTACTAGTACAGAGATTTCAATAATAACTCTGGATGCTAAATGGCCTGAATTCCCCCGTAAGAAGGTACTTCACACTCGATAAAGAACAATCCGCTGCGGAGATATAGTTATAAATATCTATGTACAAAACCCAGACACACCCAACTTCATAAAATAGTACTAAATGATGTAAAACCAAATATTAACCCCCAACACGGGGATAATAATTCCAGTACCTCGCTCTCAACAGTAGACAGGTCATCTAAAGAGAGAAACATGGGAGTTAAGTGACATCATAAATCAAATGGACCTAAAAGGTATCTATGGAACATTCCGTACAAACACTCCATAGCACACATTCTTCTTAGCATTCCATGAACATTTTATCCAAACTTGGACATACATACTGGGATACAAATAAAATCTCAATAAATATAGGAAAATTAAAATAGCATATTCTATTTGACCATAATGGAACAAAGCCAGACATCAACAGCAATATAAACAAACAACAGAACGTACATAGAGGACTCAAACATACAGAGACTAAACACACATTACTGAATGGATATCAGGCTACTGAAGAAATTAAGAAGGGAATTTTTTTTTTTAATTTCTAGAGTTAAGTAAAGGAAAATACAAAATACCAAAAAAAAAAAAAAAAAAAAAAAAAAAAAAAAAACTATCATACACAATTGAGATAATCCTTTTAAAGTCACTTGGAGTGGTGGCCCATGCCTTTAATCCCAGCACTCAGGAGACAGAGGCAGGTGAATCTTTGTTCAGTTCATGGCCAGCCAGATCTACAAAGCAAATTCCAGGACAGCTAGGGCTATTACACAGAGAAACACAGTCTCAAATGAATAAATAAATAAATTAATTAAGAAGTTGAGTGGCACCAGGACCTCTACCCCAGCTGCATGAACTGGCTTTTTGGAGCCCATTCCCTATGGTGGATACCTTGCTCGGCCTTGCTGCAGGAGAGGGGCTTGGGCCTGCCTTAACTTGGTATGCCAGACTTTGTTGACTACCCTAGGAAGGCCTTACCCCCCTCTGAAGAATAGATGAGGGGGTGGGAAAGGGACAAAGTTGGAGATAGAAGAAGGGAAGGGCGGGAAAAACAGGCTTGCTATATAAAATGAAAAATAATTATTTTTAATTAGAAAAAGGTGATAATGCCAAGTGCCCACATCAAAAGACTTGAGAGATCTCAAATTAATAACTGTAGACATGCCTTAAGGCCCTGGGAAAACAAGAACAAAACAAATCCACAAACAGTGGATAGGAATAGATAACCGAAATCAGTGAAATAAAAACCGAAAACCAAAAACAAAGAATCAATGAAAAAAAAAAGTTGTTGGTTCTTCAAAAAGAATATTGGGAGGAGGGGAAGGGAGGGAGAGATCTAGAAATAAAAAAGGAAACAGTACAGCAGATACCAATGAAATCCAGGGAACAAAGAAGCCAAGACGAGTCATTGCACGGTAGCATCCCTACATCCAAGGGATGGAATGTTGTGGGCGGCTCATGGGAACATGCTCAGATACAGGAAGAGAAGGGGGTTGGGTAGAGGGCTGTGCAGTGCTAACTTCTGAATTTGATGGGGCTGGCACACACATCAGCTCACTCACACAGCTGTGGTTGCCTGCACACAACCAAGCCAATCACTACACCAGCACAGGTTGGGTTTAAGTTCCTGAGCCCCTCCCCCAACTTAGGAGCTTTTTGTAGTTGGTGATATTAAGGGAAGGATGGTCATTTTTATTTGGGGAGGTTACCTTTGATAGGTTATCCACAACCCAGTGGTAACCCCACAATCATTTACAAACGATCAGCACTAAAGGGCTCAGAGAAACAATTAGTTAATGAATAATAATAATAATAAGAGCCATAAAGTTGGCCAGGAAGTTGGCTGGTCGGTTTCGGGGGCAGTGGAAGAGAGGTAGTTTGGGAGTTGATACGATAAAAGTATGTTAAGTGTGAAACTTTCAAGGTGTGGTTTTTTTTTTTTTTAAATGTTACTGAAAAGAGAAAACTGGTTAAGGTGCAGTCCACATAGAAAGGATTTGATAACTATGTAAAGCCTGCTCTATGTGAAGAAGCAGAGACAATGTGCCAAGGAGGCCGAAGACACAAACTGCAGAGTGCAGAATCAGTCAAAGAGGAGGCCCTGGGGCCAAAGGAGTCTTCAGGGAAGAGAGAGCAGGCTCTGCCAGAGACAGAATCAAAGAGAAAGGACTGGGGGGAATCAAACTGCGAGAAGGACTTTTGAAATAGCAGGGGGAAGGAAGCCCTGGCCTGCTGAGAAGGGGAGCAGCTGCTGAGCGAGGCACAGGCCAGCCTGGGCTTGGAAGAGGTGCTGGAGACAGGGCTGACGTGGAATCGCACACACATCGCGGTGTGTGTGCATTTGCACACTTCGCTACTTGACGTTCACTGGGGAAAATGTCAATCCCACTATCTGCCAAGAAGTCAGAGAAGTTCTGTGTGGTTAATGTGGTTGTGTATTTACCATGTGACAGAGAAGAGATCCTTTGCTCTCGTACTAGACTGAAACTGTGTAGTCCACATGGGCTTACAAGTGTGTGTGTATATCCATGCCTGGGGGTAATGTGTGAGGAACCACAGCATTTTCAAAGGATAAGCCATTAAAAACAAACTTTGATAACATATGTTACACCCTCTAGGTTTGCTTAAATCCGTGATTTTTCATGAATTGAACGTTAAGATACTCTGAATGATTGAATTAAGGGAAGCAAATACTGGAGTCAGTCAAACTAAATCTGGCCACGAGACTTCACGAGTCTTCTGTCACCAAGTCTGCTAAATTAGCTATTCAGCTGAACTATTCAAATGTCTCGTTTGACTCAGTTGTGTTTATAGCCATGCTTGCAAAAACATTATAGTTCTTTATGTAATGCAGTTTTGTACTTGATTCTAGAAAACGTTTCTATGTCAGATCTAGAACCCAGCTGGTGTGAAATCTTCAGTGTTACAATAATAAAAGAACATTTGAATCATAATCACCCTAAGGCAGAGGGGCTCTAAGCCATTGGGAGCTGTGATGGGACGAAGCCTCTTCCTCCTCCAAGGCTCGGACCTGTTCTCCCTGAAGATCTTTACTGCTTGGGGCAGGGGTGTGGGAGGGACAGGTATCTGGTAACTGTTAATGTCTGGAAGTTGGTAGGGATCCAGCCTCTGGGAATTGTCCATGGAGTTCCTGAACTTCATCATTGCCTTCTTGCCCTGTAATCACACACCATGATGTTAAGACCCAGTGACACACAAGCATAAGCGTCCCCCAGTGCAACCCCAACACAGATCAAAGGCAAGCCTGGGTGACTGTCACTGCACACAAACCAGGCTGAAAACGATAGGCCAACCCACAATACACATTTGCCTCCATTAAAATCACATTTTGTATCTATTGCCAATTCAATAAGCACATGTTTTTAACCTTGTGTAAATGTAGTTTTAATAGAAGATCAGCACTCCAGGGAGAGTTAAGTTAGTTAATTGTACACCAGGAGCAATGCAGGGTTGACCCATAAAGCTGGGCCGGTCCATGCACTGAGCAACAGGAAGTACTGTCTTCACACATCCCAAGGTTTGATCAGGGCAGGACAAGCAAGGCTGTGAAAAATGCCAGGCATACACTGTTTGAATTACGTCAACTTTAGTGAAGGACAATCCAAAATATTCACCAAAATTCAAAGAGGATACTCTTTGACCTAGAAATCCAGCCAACAAAAAATAAAACTTGTTTAGTACAAGTATTATTACTCAGCTATAAAGTGCATTTGGGCACACACATGAGTGTATTATTCAAGTGTGTGTTTATTCAGCTCAACTCTAAAAACTTCAGCACCCTAAAAACCCATATATAGGAAAATAATTAAATTTTGCTTTGTTTATTTAGTCAGATTATATATTTCTCAACAGGGTATAGAAATATGAGCATATTTATACTAACACAGTAGCACAAGCAGTATGATGCCTTTTAAGTGGTTTATGTGTAGATTTTTATTTAAAAAGCAAGAACAAATGGAAATTTTTAAACATTAATCTATCTTTATGTTGTTTGAGGTTTTAATCACAATGCCTCGCTTTAATCATGTAAAAGCTCCAAAAGTAAAACCAATAATCTTTACCAGACAGACTTGAGCCTAAATATTTTTAAAAATTGGTTTTTCTGTGTATCTGAAGTGTATTTCTAAATTTTAAAAGGCACCTTTAAATACTTTTATCCATTCTACACCAATTTATAAGAAGTATTTATAATTATACAATATAAATTTACATTAAATTTATATTTTTTACTCCTAGTTAATTTTCAGCCAATTTAGTCTAAATTTTGAAATGCCTAATAATGAAAATTTATTCTAGGAAAATAGTTCTCCAAGGGGCACTGGTTACAGAGTAAATAAAAGCAGAGTAAGTAAATGCATGTCTATCTCAAACCTTGAATAAGCCACCACTTTTGTGTAAGCAGGTTCTACTGTCCAGAAGTTAAATTACAGAGTGTTCTTATTGTTAGGAATTTTTTTCTGCAAAGAGTTGCATTGATTCTAGAATATCAAACTGGAAATAATGCAAGTGATACAGATATTTAAATTAATTAATCTAGGACTTTGGGAATTTTTATGACTTTAATTGCTTTTAGGAACAAATATGATAGCAGATATCGGGTGATTGACTTGTTTTGGAAATGCATTTATTAATATTTTTGAAAAATGTATGTCTTGTTCGTTTTCTGTATTACATTGATAATATGTTGGATAATTTTCTACACTACTACATATACTTACAGTGTATTCTTATATACTTGAGCATTTTAAACAATAATGGGGAAAACTTTTCCCAGTTGTTCAGTACTGTAAATATGACAGGTCTAAGCGGCCTTGACTATTCCTTTGCATCCATGTGCATTGTTCCTTGGGTAGATTCCTACATGGTAAAATGGTGGTAGATCTTCCAGGCAGTGCTTTGGAAACACTTGTACTGATTTCTCCTGACAGAAGAGACTCTGTCTGAACACTGGCAATGTTTGCCAAATGGGTATTGGCATCAAAACCAACCTGCTGTTGACAAACCACTTTTTCCTGAAGATACTCACTGTCTGCTATGACAAGTTCAACCTGGTTTTATCTGTGACATTTTCAATCCTTACACCTATATACCCTTTACTCTTTCAGTAAGGAAAAGGGTCAGCCCAGCGCCCAGCACATACTTAGCAACAATACAGGCCACCGTCTTTCATAAGGAGCTTGTCTGATCGTCCACACTCTCACCATTGATACCACTAATAAAAGCATGTCTCTTTCATAGTCTCTTTTGCTTATGCATATTACATTGTAAGCTCCAAGAAGCTGCTACTGGTGTCTTCCTTGATAATCAATAACAATTGTTCTTCAGTTCCTAGCCTATCATAAGTGACCAAAATATTTAAACATTGAATTTAGGTAACTGAAACTAATATGAAATTAATCTTCGCCTTGTTGGTACATGTGAGCTACCCGGTGCATTTTCTTTAGTAACCCACACTCTTAAAAGTTGACTTGTATGTACATATCACCATGTGTATATATAACTATTACTTGCATACAGTGTCTCAGAGTAATTTGGGGGGAAATCACTGAAAGGAAAAAAAAAGTCAGCTTCTGGCAGTCAAACAACATATGTCATCTCACTACCAGTGTTGGTATGTCTAGGAAGAAAATTTACCAAAGTAGAACTCAGAACTACAGAAGCTTGGGAAGAATATAATCACCTTGGCAAACTTGGAAAGTACCCATTGGAGCACTGCCTAATGGGGAGGGAGTCCTACCCATCAGGCTTTGCGTGTCCAGCCCTAAGGGCAAAGCTAACCCCGGAGGACACAGAGAGTTTGAGGCAAACACCTGTGCGTTTTCGGCTACTTTTGGCAAGCCCATTTCTAAGGTGAGGTGGGTGCCTCTGGAAGCCTTAACCTGATCCAGGAACACTGCCTCCAGACACAGCCCAGCCCCCTTCTGATTCTTCCGTTGCCAAGCAACCTTCTCTTTGTGACTCTGTCTCCTAGGAGGCTCCACCAAGGGGGAGGAAGCCTTGTTGCTACAAGCTTTGGCCATTTGGTGATGCTTGTGGATTAATGGCCCCTGGTCGGGACAACTCTCCTATTTTCGATTACTATAAAGTGACAGTATCCTGTTTGTGTATTATTTTAAGTAGCCTGATGTGGTCTCATAGGACCTGGCTACTTCAACTGGACCCTAGGTCTAAGACCCGGGAGCCTGTCTCATTCCAAGCAGTTTCTGCAAACAAAAAGCCACCACTTTCCAATTAACTTCTCCTAGCATTTAAGAAGCTACCAGTAAATTCCAGAAAAAAAGGTGTGTAAAACATGCTCATGAGCTAAACGCATTTTCGGTGGATTGGGAATGCCACAGTTGCCTATGTATATTTAGTATAAAACACAAGCCCTTATCTGCAGGAAGGGCATTTGTCAGTAAAAGGGGACAATGTCTTAGGTTAAAGGGTGGTATTTCCTAGTAAGAAATGAAGCACATTCATCCCTGCCTCTTAATAGCAATTATGTTCTTGACAAAGTCTTAAGCTAGCAAACGTTTCTACATGTTAAGAACACAGTGTCTGGCCAGTGTGGAAATGGCCTGGCTTGGTCCTCCCTGTTTAGGTGGATTCTGTTTCATACCTAGCTTTCTAATACTCTAAAGAGCAAAGTTACCCAGGATATAACCTTGAAAAGGATGTAGTGTCAAAACCCTGGGCATGATGATTTCAGCACATTTAAATGATGACAGATCCTCCTGTAAGTGCACCTCAAAGTAACTTCACACATGGATGGGAAAGCTGGTCCCAATGCAGACAGACCAGCCATGCAGAGTCCCATGGTCTGGTTCTCCTGTGTTCTCCACAGAGGGCCACTTCTGAGGACAGCCGTTTGTGGCTGTGAAAAAACTTCTTTGCTTTCTCATAGTGAGCACTCACTGCACATCAATACAAATCCGCCCCTTAAAGATTCTGTTTAATTACATAAACAGGTCTTCTGGTCCCGGAAAGATAGTGTTCATCTGAAGTATACAGTAAGTGCTTAATGAATGTACAGAATAAGTTCCCCTTTGTGGATGAACTGAACAGGTACCTTTAAAACTTTGATAGGACAAGATTTTAACCAACAAATTAAAGAAGTATATTTCTTAAAGAAAATAGCATTTACCCCAATAGGAAATGGAGCTTCACTTTCCAGCAATAAGGTTTTGGGTTTGGACCCTGAAGTTATCTTCGAAACATTTCTCGTTGCACAATTAGTGAGAAGAGGCTGCAATCGAATCGGAGGCTGCATATTTCCAGGGGCAGTATATGGTCGAGAGGCTGTCTAGACAATTAAGAGGGAAAAGTTCCATTTAAATTAGTATCTTGACACGTTTCCAGAACCAATTAATAACCCAACAAATTGCCCAGAGTAATTAATGGTGCCTTTTTTACTGAACAGATTAAACTTTAATTATATCCTTCCATTATACACACCCTTCTGACCCAAAGTATTTGTTAAAACATATGGTGTTGAAGTCCTGTACATAACCAAGTATCACAGGGACGGAGTCTTGTAGACAAAAGAGATGGCCTCTATTATAGTCCCATATTCTTGCTCCTAACTCTTGACAGTACTGCATTTGTGCAAAGGAGGGCTTTGCTCAATTAAATGTTGAGTTGAATAATGTTCCTACTGTAGAGATCGGGGATGGTATTATTGGAACAGACTCATTTCAGTCTCAATGTTTTCAATATACAATCTACTCTGAATTCATTACGCTGCAAGGTTGGCACCCAAAGTAAAAGCAGACAACAGGAAAGGCAGGTGCTTGGCTATAATGTGCCACCAATTACGTGTCTTCAGCTGCTTCCTAGAAATGTAAGAAAACAAGACGAGAAAGCATAGCTGCCAGCCCCGGGATGCACTATATAAAAACGAATGCTTCCACGCTGAGTATCTTCCATTGGTTCTTTTAGGTGTCCTGTCCACCTCCTCTGCCTGTCTGTGGAGCTCTGGGACAACCAACCTCAGGACTGCCGTCTACCAGAGAGGAATCACATCAGAGATGGGAGGGTGGCATGGAGGTCCCACCATCCCTGCAGGGTAGAAATGGTTCCTAACACCTGAGTGTTATGCTTCTGCGCAGAAGCCTTTACACCCAATCCCTCCCAAGCCCCCTTCAATACAGGGGCTGTGGTTTCCAGGGCTGTTGGCCTCAGTGGGCTTACCATCCCTGGTTGGTTTCACTTTGCCCTGCTGTATCTTCCTAAATAGTTTCTTTATTAAACAACTTCCTAATTACTCTATTTGTATGAGCCATCTGTTTCCTGCTGAGCCCCCAACAGAGACTCTTTCCAATCAAGAATGTACTGCAGTGAATACAAAAGCTGCCAGCGTGGAACATTCTAAGTACCTTTTGGGGGCATCAAAAGAATATTGTAAGTTTTGTATAAAGATTAGCAATGCGTCAGATGTGGGGAAGCACAAAGCTTTTGGCCCAGTTGTCCTATTATAGTAAGGCAGTAGAAAACATGCCAAGAATAGGCCGTGCATATTTGGGCAAAGGGGTATGAGAAGGGCAGTATATAAATGATTCATGAACAGAATTTTGTACATTGACTCTAAAGGATGATGGGCCACAAATATTCTGTTCTGTGAAAGTATGTATAAATAAACACATTAAAAATCAGGCAGCCAGAGACTACTACCAATCCCTCGTTCTCACAGCATCTTGAGAAGCATGTGTGGACACACGGCTAAGCTTCTGATTTCTCAACAGTAGGCACATATTGAATCTCTGCCTCAGGCCAAGTAAGGAGATAGAAAGTAATATTTAACATCCCAAGATCCATTAGTCAATCAGACTGATTGATGCCAGAATGATGTGTCCCTAGAATGTTTATAGTTAACCAAGAGGGCCAAGGAAAACTAAGTTCTCACAGACGCAGTTAAAAATTTCATCCAAATGACCAGGCAATGGTGATCGGAAAACCCAAGTAAGAGCTGGCTCTGAGCCAAGACCAAAGAAGATCACCAGAGATTTGCTTATAAACGAAAGGTGAACCAGTAAAGAGACCCAACACACTAGCCGTTCACCCTCAGAGAAGGAAAGCATGTGCTTACTTTCCCGCTGACCCCTTCCCTCAGTCCGGAGCATCCACATGGTGATACGCAGCCCTGGCTGCTGTGGATGAAGCAGGCACCCCAGGTTGGTGGATGAGTAACACAGAGGGATCCAGGTGTCTGATGACTTCATAGAGTCACCTGAGACTCATGCCTGTACTGGGGTGGGGATGAACCCCCATAGTTAAGCCATTGTTACTTAGATCGCTTATGGTTAGAGTGTGAACCTGCCTCCCACCCGGTCCAAAACTGGAGCTGCTCTTTCAGGGGCATGTGAAGCCATTGGTGGGTGAAGGCTGGCCTGAAGAGCTTCCCTGAAGGGCAGGCAGGTCGTGCTGCTCAGAGAAACACCCTGCTTCTCTCCCTTTCTCTGCCTCCTGTTGCATGTTCCCTCCACCTGCTTCCGCGTCCTCTCCACCCCGACGGACTCTGTATCCTCAGGCTACAAGTCACATGAGCTCCTTCTATCTCAGTCATCTCTCAAAGGTATTTTGTCTCAGTAACAAGGGAAGTCAGGTTTCCACCAACCTGAGCCTCAACAAACACACACAGACCAACTGAAGTAACAGATAAGAGGTCAGAGAAAACAAGAGATGAACCTTAGAGAGAGATCTTAAAACCCACACACAGAAATTAGACTGTACGCTTCTGAGTAAGAAACTCTTGCGACTCTGCTAGACCCGTACATATATGCTGTTTAGTGTCTCTTGTGCAATGATCCCAAACATGAGAAATCTTGTACAGAAATCCAGGGGAGCTGGTTACTGCAAACCAGAGCACCATCGGCTGGTGGATGTGCTCTTAATTTTACCGCTGTGCATTTGCATCCAAATGTCACCTGGTTAGATGGATGTGGCAGTGAAATGCTCAACTGTTCACATTCATCTCCAAAGACAGATCTGTCCCATTAACTAACAGCTGTGTGCCCCAAACTCCTGTCATTGGTGTCACAGGCTACCTTAAGTTTGCCATGTTTTGCAATGTGTGAATATATTTTCCTGTAATAAATATGGCACTGTCTTCACCTGCTCAACGCCACACCAAAATGTGCGCTGGAATTGGCTACCTGGCAATTACTCAGCTTAGCTGAGCTTTGCTAATTCTCAGGAGGACCCGGGGGGGGGGGGATTCCCCAAAGCTGTGCGGAATCAGTTGAGATGACACGCCTTGGTTTTAATGAAGATGGCACAGCTAAACACTTGCACTGGGTCAGAAAATTTAGTGCAACTAGCAATAAAGTGTGGAGGCACGTGCTTCCGGCTTCCTTGAGAAGCTGGAGGAAAATGGAGACAACATCCCACAAGGCTTCCCGTCTCTGTCTCCATCTAGGGCTATTGGTAGCAGTCGGGGCTGAAACCGAGAAGGGATATGCCCAGGAGAGGATGGACAGACCAAAGAGAGACTGGAATTTCTGTAAAGCAAGAAATTCACCTACAGATCACAGTAGCTCTCCAGTAAGGTGCACAGGACACACAGTGTGTGATCAAGTGCCCGGCTGCTAACAGTGTGGCCTCTGTTTTTAAAGGATTCCCTCCTCACTCGTGTACCATGAACCTCAGACTATCTCCTGAGGGGGTTCATCTGGAAAAATGAAAAGAAACCCTTAAAGGGGGTTTTCTTTCTGAACCAGGTGGAGGACAGAAAACACAACTATTTCCTTAGTTTCTTCTGGGGAAAGCTTGGGAGAGGCAATGGATTGCTGTCCAACAAAGACATTTGTGCGCACGCATGCGTGCGCGCGCGCACACACACACACACACACACACACATTCCAATCAGACCCAGAAGAGGAAAAAGAGTCCAGAGAGACCCGAGGCATATCGAGACTTGGTCTGTTCACCCAGGACAGGTCAAGACATGATCACCTTTTGTAGAATGCTGAAGCTTAATTCTAAGGAGACAGACAGCCTTTCTCGACAGTCTGTGAAAGCTTTATAATTTCTCCACAAATATTGTGCAACAGGAATAAAAGTGATCCGACATTACAAGGAAAAGCATGCAGTCACGACAACCAAGAATAAAGATGTCGTGGGGAGTTTACCCCCCTTCAACCACCCACACCCAACAAACCCTTTTTAAACCTTTCCCGAGTCTGTATTGTTTTGAAGAACCGTGATCTCCTTCAGCAAGTATTACCTCTGGGCAGCAGACAAATCATGCTGGGATAAGATATCAGTGTATGATTTCTTCAAATGGGATTTCAGTACATTTAATTATCTCAACGTAGAAGAGCATCCTTTTGATAAACTGAAACGGTAGAATGTCACCAGCACACAGCATGGCACTGCTGAATTTGTACAGATAACAGAATAGCAAGGATAAAATACCCAGACGTCAGAAAATACAGAGCATGTATGACACCTTCTGCCGCGTTGCTGAGCGCTGAAGGGTCAATACTGAGACAGACGAGTTGAAGTCACTGTAGATAGCAGGTAGCATTAGATCTCTTCTGTAGGTGAAATAGTGGAGCAGGGGTACAGAGATGGAGGAGAGATGTGGGTGTGTATGTGAGCATAAGTGATCTCCACTCAAGAAGCTAATGTGACAGCTGCATGTAGAGGGATTTTGACCGGAGGGGGTACTGTTAATGGAGACTTGAACAGTTATGAGTCTGTGGCTTCCAACTGTTCCTTTGACTGTGTTTTCAAGTCTTTAGGGTTGTGCAGACATGCTTCCCAGAGAGTCTACTTTCAGAGATTAATGACAAATCATAAATTAATTAGCTGGGACAGAGTGCTTAATAGGGCTCACCAGTGTTAATGGACTAGAACGTCCTTCCTCAGCCAGAACGCTATAGCCACGGTTCGTCTTTGGGCCAGCTGGAGGATGGGGAGTCAGAATGGGCATGTTATCTTCAATAAACCGTCTCGTGTGTTCTCTCTGTAATGAGAAGGAAATTTGTGAAGTTGATGTATAGATGGTCGGGTTAGCTTAGCACCTGACACACATTCATATTGTGAGATCAAAGCCCTCTCCACTAAGAATGCTTCTCGGTGTCCTGACAAGGATGTTGGCAAGGCTCTAATGGCTATGGTGGGGTTTGTGTGTGGTACTGAGTGTCAGAAAATAGAGTCTTTTCTAGCTGCAGACAGAGGAGTCACTCTGAGCCAGGTGTTGGTGGCATGCTCCTTTAATCCCAGCACGTGGGAGGCAGAGGCAGGTGGATCGCTGTGAGACCAGCCTGGTCTACAGAGCCAGTTCCAGGACAGACAGGGCTACACAGAGAAACCCTGTCTCAACAACGGCCCTCCCCTTCAATGATAATATTTAGCAGACCACTGTATTTCCCCACTCTGACCGCTAGAGACCGCCAGAAAGGATGGAATTTTTTAAGTGAAAATAATTCAATAATGCCCTGAAGCAACAGTTTGCCTATTAAATATAACGAGGGGACCTAAAACACGCCTTTGCTGATTGCAAATAGGCAATGAGCTTTGACAATCCCAGCAGAGGCATCAGATGAGAGGAATCAGAGTGCCAATGGCCTAGTCTTCCCATTTACCTAAGGTCCCTCCCTCATCTGCCATTGCACAGGACAAATGAATGGAAGACATGCAGCCCACCCTGCTTCAGGATAGCATCCACATTTCGGCAGATTACAGAACCCGTTAACTGTCCACAATGCAAGGCATGGCCAGCCTAGCTGAATGAACCCGAAGCCTCTGCACCTAAGTTCTCCTGATCCCTAAGAAAGGACCTATGTCCTGCCATTCAACACTTTAATAACAAGATTAGCATTTGACCCCAATAAAATAAATTTGAGCCCATGCACCCAGATAGGAAAATTCTAGTCTTGCAGGACAGGTTGCCCTAAGAACACTTTGCAAATACTTAATCAGGTTGTGAAATGTGTTTTACTTTCTGCATTTGTAATACCACAGAAAATTAAGAACAAACAGCTCACGATTTCAAATAGCTTAAGAAATCAAACAAATCTGCCATCCGAAACTGAAACATGCCTAATTGAATCTCTCATCTCCTGATTCAAATTGATGTATTTCATAAGTTCACTGCAAAGAACAAAAATAGGGAGCACCCGTGGGTTTAAAAATACCCAGCACAAAGCGTCTTAGATCTGATCGTGCCTGCTTTTACAAAGGAAGCTCATTCCCACCATAGTGTTCACGGGTGACATTCGAATGAAAATGTGTGATCGTGTAATTCTTCCAATGTTTTTTTTTCCTTCATACTGGAACATTTTCTTAAGAAAATAAAGAGATGGTAATGGTCTCTCTCTCTCTCATACACACACACACACACACACACACACACACACACACACAAATAAAACATTTTTAAAAAAACAAAAGCAAGGTTTCAAATTTGGCTGTCTTTAATTTTGTCTTGGAAAGTTTTTGCATTGTTAAAAAGCATTTCTCAGGAGCAGGGCCTGCTTTTATCAGCGTCCATATGGGTAACAGATAAGATCCAAGCTCAGTAGAACCACTCGCTTGACCTCTCAGTTATGTGTGCTGTCCAAAAGTAGGTGCCTCTAGACGCTCAATAACAACTACCTGGGGGTGGGAATCATTAAATGTTATTAAAAGGCAACGAGTTTTACCTTCAACCTCTGAATCCGCTCTTTCCTAGCTAAGGTGTCCAGTTTCCTTTTTATTTCAAGCTGGTGGTAGCGCTGTAGAAGACAGAACCATCCTAGTTAGAGCCAAGAATATTTTAGAGGAAAATAATCCCGACAGAAGTAGTTTTATCCTCAATAACCCCTCTTGCCATTTAGATGGAGAAGAACCACCTGCCTAAGTGTGCAGGTGGGAATATCAATTGCCACCACTCTGGGAAAGCCAATTACAAACACATCTCAGCTAAAAGGATCCATGCCCTTTAACCAGAAACTTCACTCCTAATCTGAAGAGGAAAACCGAGTAATGACTCCTAAGTGTTTTGCACAAAATGATACTGCCTGATAGCGGCCCCTCCCCTCAATTTCTCTGAAGAAACAGTGGTATGAAATTTAAAGAGGTGGTTGAACGTTTGGCGCATCCGTGTGCTGGAACAGAACGTGATCATTAGAATAAGGTTCCTAAAGATTTTGATTTCTCCTTTATAACGGAAGATGAAAATAGCAGGAGGAAGCAAGGTGCCCAATGGCATAATGTCTTGTAACTGGAAGAATCAGTGTCTTGAGAGGATCCCAGCAGTGGGAGGTGCTTTCCAGTATTTCTAGTTCCCAAGGACCCTGAGGCAGATTCACGGCTTTGTGCCCTGGTCTCACTTCCTGTTTCCTGTTTGATTGCCTCAAGCCCAAGTCCCCATCACAACGTGTCATGCTGTTCTGTGGGGGTGAGGAGGAGGAAAGATTATTTTATGTCTGTGGACATGTGGGGCTGTAATTCCAGGCAGTTCTGTGCTGGGAGCTGAATTCTTGTCCTCTGCAAAGGCAGCCAGGGGTTCTAATGTCTGAGCCACGGCTCACATTCCACTGTGTTTCATGAAATTGTTTGTTTTGATTTGATTTGAGGCTCTTGGACTATAGCTTAGGATGACACTTGCTATATTGTCCACACTGGCTTCGCAATTGTGTCCATCCTCCTGCCTAGGCCTCCTGAGTATTGATACTACAGGCGTATGCTGCCACACTTGGCCATATCCTGATTTTATTGCTGCATAACTACAACTAGAAGATACGAAAAAGAAATGTACATTGATAGTAGTCATCTCTGAAAGCAGAAACTTTAAATGTAATTATTTCACTTTATGATTCTCCCTCTGTTTTCTAATTATTTTAATATAATAGTTGGTGATTTAAAAATATACCTCATATAAAAAGCATCTTCTTCCAATTGGACTAGAAATCAGTCCATGGTCTTTCTTGCTGTCGTTCACTGTTCCTTTGGGGAGACCCTTTTCTCTGGCCTTGGTCCCTGCTGGTTCAATCATCACCATCCTGGGTGTTACCGTCATCTCTTGACACGTCTTGTCCCTCTCCCGTCTGTTCTGAGCCTTTATCCACCCAGCAACACACTTTCTTGAATTTGCTACCAGCCTGTTCCCAAGGTCCGCGTATCCCCAACTCTCCAGTGGGGAGCCAGGCTCCTCTTCATCCTGGTTGACACCTCTTCCTCCCGATCCCTTTGCTTCCTGGGTCCACTCACCACTGCAGCCATTCTGCGCCTGTGAGCTTGTGAGACCTTGGTCTCCTCCAGGACAGCAGCCTAGCAGGACTGTGTGTCACAGGCGATAGGCTTCTGGTCCCTCGCACCTGTCCCTCCCTCCCTCTGCGCCCCTCATTCAATCCCTGAAGTTCTCTCCACCTCCCCTGCTTCGGAGACAGTCGCTCTTCTCCACGGTTTTGTCCTCGATAGCCGCCTGCCCCACACTCTCCGCAGCTGCTAGCCGCACCCTTTGGCAACAGATTCCTCATTGACCTCCCACCTCCAATCTTTTCCAGCCCATTAACCCATCCTCCACATCTCCAGCAGCAGCATCTCAAACAACTCTGCTCATTTATTTCACTCCCCTGCTGGAAAACAACATCTCACCGCCTCATCACCTCCACCGCAGCAACCTGCCTTGGGAATTCAAGACTTTCCGAAGCAAAGCTCCAACTTATCAGATAATGTGGCGTCCTGCCAAACCGCCCCCTGTGCCGTGCAGTCTTTGGGCTTCCTTTCCATTGGAGGTATTCTGCATATGACTGTCCTCCTCCTGTGGAACTCCTCTCCTGGGCCCCTGACTTACTCCTCCAGGTGTGCTTTACAGCAGCAGCACCTCCCTGCACCTTGCTCTCCTGGCCACAGGGGGACCCCCTCCTTTGCAGGATTGGCTTCGATCGCCACTTCCCTCTTCTGTGCAATAGCAATGAGCCATGTTGCAGCCACAGAGCAGGGTCCCATCTGGGCACACGGTGAGTCTGCTACTGTGTCAGGAAGAACTGGGACTGTATCCATTAAATGAGAAGCTCTATAGCAACGTGGGAACAATACTGGTTGCCCTAGTATATTAACAGTTTGCATGGGTCTTCTGAAACATGGCGAGAAGCTAAATTGGTTTCACTCTTTTTCTGATTTATAGATATCTCCAGACCTGGCCGATTAAACAACCCTAAGCTGAACATTCAGGTTCCTCCGAATGCTGAAACCTTTAAGCATGAGCACCAAACTTACAATATTTTCAAGTTTGGAGCATCTCATATTTCTTTTTGTTTTTTAACTGCATGTGGGTTTGTGCGTGTGGAACGCAAAGCATTTTCATTGAGTGCGTTAGGTGTTCGTGCGTGTGGTTTTGTGCTGTGGAATATGTGACTGAGTGCCTTGGGTGTTCATGCAGAGACCACTGGCTCTAGCTGCATGACTGGGCGAACTGCTCTATCCCTCAGGACGGGGTCTCTCACTCAGCCTGGTACTGGGCTGGCAGCCAGGAAGAGACAGCAGTATTTCCTTCTCCGGTACAGGGTTAAAGGTGTGGGCATGACACGCATGGCTTTTCACACAGGTGCTGAAGACTTAAACTCAGACTCCGGTCTTTCGACTTGTATAGTGCGTGCTCTCACCCTTGGAACGATCCTCCTGGCCCCATGTTTCAGACTAGAGAGGGCCCAAATTTTACATTCTTTATACATATATGTTGTTAACACATGAGGCTTAATGGTGTCATGTCAGCAAACTCTAAAGACCTGGGCCAACTCTGAACACAGTACTCCTAACGTTAGAAACTAGGTAGGGGTTAATTTAAGGCCATATTCTTTTCTTTTTTGCAGAATTGTACCATTCCCACAGGTACGTTTGTAATCAGCAAATTTGGGGCGGTCAACAATGAGTCTGTGTAATTTGTGGACATGAGCAAAATTAAAAAAAAAAAAAAAATGAGTTCCTAAGTCAGCAGAAACTGCACATGTGCAATAAAGATCTTAAGTGAATATTGATGTCAGTATAATAATAAATATTTTCACTGCTACTAAATTGTTGCTGGTCTACTGATAGCCCTACATTTGTTCATAAACATCAGTGCACCCACAGGTCAGGAGCTCTCCAAGCCAGCCTCTCTGGTTACTGGTGTGTGACGGAGCCAAGAGCCGCACCCTTTTTTCAGAGACTGGAATGGTGCTGGACAATTGAAACTACAGTATTTTGGAGCAAAGGCTGCAATAATTCCTCAGGTGAGCTACATTGCCCACAAAAAGTGCAAATGTCAGAGTCCACAGAAGGTGTTGATGCTCAGGCTGTAAATTGTGCTGACCAACGTGTCCTAAAGTAGAAGGGACAGCAGATGTTTCAATGCCTATTCCGTGAAACTTAACATACGGCTGAGCTACGGGCCCTTAAAAGAATAACAGATCCGAGATAATTCATGGCAGTGGGATTACTGATATTTAAACAGATGTCACTTTTTTTTTTTTTTTAGGGAATGGAAATTAAGGTACAGATGGTAAGGGCTGGGTAGCCATTGTGGATTAAAGGAATCTACATTTAGAAAATTAAATATCACAAACTTTATAATCATGTCCATATTTCTTCTCAACTATAAAGGAGGAAAACTTGGGTCTGTGGGCTCCTGGCTACTTAGGAAGTCAGACAGCGTCTTCCAATTCTTTTTGGTCCATTTCCCTTTTCAATGAAGTTTAGGGAGAATTCTCCAATCATTGGTCGTTGTTGAAGAGTGAACAGGTCTGTCGTAAAGAGAGGGTAAGAAATGCCCGTACCTCCATGTCCAGGACCTTGTGGAAGATGGCCTGGGCTAAGCAATCTCGGATGTATTTTTGCTGGTCCTGCTTCATAGTGTTTACTTTGTATTCCTTTTCAGAAAGTATCCTCCCGCTTCTTGTGATCTGTGGTGAATAGATAAATAGGTGAGTGGATAGATAAAACGCACATGGAAATACAACATAGGGAAAAATGTGCCGTTAGGTACCAAAAAAGACAGTGGATGGAGGGAGGAGGGGAGAAGAGAGAGAGAGAGAGAGAGAGAGAGAGAGAGAGAGAGAGAGAGAGGAAACTGGTCTTTACAAAGCCTAAGGGAGAATACCATCGTCCCTAATGAACTTCCATTTTTAATGAATATTTCATCAGGCAGAAAGGGGAGAGGAAGGCCCCTCGTACCTGTCAGCGTGAAAACACACACACAGGTGGTACACTTGACGTTTGGAACAAGGTGTTCATTAGAGTAACAATTTCCCAGTGACGGATGAAACCCAGGTGTTCTTTTCAAGCTCCTGAAAGTAGCTTGGGGAGGGACTGGAGGAGCACCTTCCAGTGGTGAGGCAGACTGCAGCTAGCAGGAAACCCCAGCGGGGGCAAGGCAGGCAGGCAGACAGGCGAACAGTGGAGAGAGCCTTGGGCTTGTCTCCGGAAATAATTGGCTTCATTACTTCGTTTGCTTCCTGCACTTTCCAGGCCAGGATGTAACTTAATTTGCTATGATTCAGAATTTTATGGTTTACATATGGTTTACGTGAGTAGCCAGTTTTGGATATCGGTCACAGCGGGGATTGCTGTGCGCTTGTCCCCGGAGGAGCTGGCGATTTTGCCCTCCTCACTCTTGGCTTCCTTGGACTCTTTGAGAATACCTGCTGCTGTCTTCTGGTTTCCCCTGTAAAAGAGGCCGCTACCCTCCCTGCTGTTTCTTTTCTTCTCACTCCCCAACCCCTGTTCCTCTTAAGTTCCAATGCATGTAGTTCCATGTCTGCGTATGTGTCTGTGTGTGCCTGTGTGCATGCGAGCGTGGGTAGCTGTGGAGGCCTCAGGTTTTGGATGTCCTGGAGCTGTGAGCTGCTTGGTGTGAGTGCTGGGAACAGAGCTCAGGTTCGTGCTCTTAGCCATGGGGCCCTCTTTCCAGTCCCCACATTCATATTTTTAACGGCCTTTCTCACTTTTTAGCTATCTTTTTTTACATTACTGTTGTGACACAGTTCTTCAGATAACCCACTTACAGTCTAGAATGTAGGATCTCACCTCCCTGGGAAGTGAGTGTCTAATGTTAGGCCGCCCTGGCTCTTATCCTGTTCCAGAGTGGCAGCTGGCATATGTATGTCATTGTTATCTCTTCCCTGGGATTATGTAAGCTCTCCCCAGCCAGACAGGAAGCTCCTACAGTACTTAAACTTGAGTGAGGTGGATATGGATCTCCTAGAGGGGTTGAGAAGTAACAAACCCCACAGGTCTGGGGCTTCCTGCTTCACACTTACATGTTTAAAAAATTTCCATGTGAAACTTCAGGCTGCTGAGCCATTGCTGGATCCCTTAATCTAAAGAAAGAGCCATGCCTTCCTTATCTGAGTTACCAGGCTTTTAAACAAGTGTTCCTTAAGTGTTTGGGGATGGTGTTAAATAGACACTATGTCTTGCCCAATGAGTATCGTGATGTGCAGTGTTCCTAGTCACAGAGTGATTAGAGGGTGACTTGTTGCAGGTTCCTAACAGTAATGGCCATCCCCAGGGCAGGGCATCATTGTCTTCATTTCACAATTGAGGAAGCTGGGCTGCAAGGTGTGTGAGCGGTTGTCTTGTTCCGGGCAGAGCCGGGTTTCAGCTGACCCTTCTGGTAATAAAGCCCCAGGAGGCTGAGAAGAACTATCTCCATCCAGTTCCACCCAGCTAGTGACAAGCATACAAACAGCAATCAGAAACACAATACCATGGATCTTTCGACACCAAGACAACACTGTACTTTCGGAAAGTAAACAGAAATGCTGTGGAGAACCACACCCCTTTTCTTTCAAAGGAAAACCATAGGGTTTTTTTGAGATAGATTTTCCAACTTGTACACATTTAAAGGAAAGGAAATTGTGTGGGGAGAATGGGTTTGAAGCCGATGGAAGGAGCTGAGGTATCAATAAACCATCATGGGGAAATTAAAGTTAAAACACACACACATACACACACACTCACACACATACACATACAGACACACACACATACACACACACACACACACACACACACACGAGAGGAAGCAAACTGTGTTTGCCACACGATATTCTGTATTAAAAACAATATTTTTCTGGAAACAATAAGGTCTTCTCTGCCCTCGCTCTTTAACAGGGTCTGGTTCACAGAATGTGCGCTGAATAAATGTGTAAATAAGCAAATCAACTATGGTGTTGAAATCTCTCAGGGACTTCTCTTCAAAAATTTATGTTTCCTTAGTAGCCATTGTAACCTCTCTCCACTTGTTTAGAAAGATCCCCGAATAAATAAACCAGAAGTTTAAACGGAAGTAAATTCTTTTTTCTGAATTACTATGGAGAGAAAGATGTCACAACCCCAGTGGAAATCTGAAGAAAGGTAGGAAGCTTTCAGACTTCATTGAACAAGAAGGCAGACAGAAGTCAAAGCCGTCTTACCAGCCCGGAACTTAGCAGGTGCCGCCTGATCCTGGTATTGTTAAAATACCCAGCCAGGTGTTTATCTGTGAGGCTATTATATGTGGCAAGTAATCTGAAAGAAAGAAGAGAAGCCATTAACATCTTACCAGAGTTGCTTGATAACCAAGGCCATTCTTAGCAACACTCTGCCACACATTTGTAGACAAGTTTAACAGCTGAGAGCCTGTTTGTTCCCAGTCTTGTGATAAGAGACACTAAGGATCTCAGTCTGAGTTAGACAAAGTTGAAAGCCAGAAATTAATGGTTAAATGTTGGTGAAAGGCCCAAAGACAGAAATGTGCCTGCAGTCTTTGGAGACGAAGCCACCCCAGAAAGAAGTTATTCATGGGATGTGGCAGGAAAGAAACAACTTCTTTAGCAAGCCTGGGCCTCTCCTGTGGACGAGCCTGCATCTGTCAGTCAGCAGTGGACTGTGATGCACACATGTCCCTGGTGTGCCCCTGAAGTCCACGTGAACCTTGCTTCACATCAAGGAAACCGCTCCATACGCTTCTCGTCCCACAAGGCTCTGAAGCCCCGGTACACCCTGCGATTCTCAACACCCTGTCTGATGTTGTCTGTTGTGATCCCAAGCAGTAATGTGCTGAGAAAATTAAGACCGTATTTTCTTACTTCATTACTTATTGACATGAAGTCCTAACGTTTAGCTTACCAGTTTTGATTTGTTGACTTATAGTTACCTAGACAATTTCATTAATCCAGTATCTATCACAAAAACCTTTTATATAGGTTATCTTATATTGTTGTTTTATTTTAAAACTTAAAGGAAGTCAGATGTAGTGACACACATCTAAAATCCTAATACTCTCCTTGAGACACAGAAGTAGGAGGATTTCAGTTATAGGCCTGACCTATACAACAAGGCTCCCTCAACTTAGAACGAGCTGAACTCTTGGTTATGTATTACTACACCTTAATACATGCTTATGATAAGTCTATGATTTAGGGTAACAAACTAAAAACTACTCTTTTTAAAAATGTATTTATTGACTTTTACATCCTGTTTCCCCTCCTTCCTCTCCTAGTCAGCCACAACCCTACCCCTGTTCCCACCCCAATCCACAACTCCTCAAGGAAATGACTCTTTTAACCTAGTTATTAAGCACCATATTAAAATGTTCACATTCATACATGTATGCACATGAAGACATTTATATGTGTATGTGCACAGCAAGCGAGCCTCACCACAGCTCAGTCCTAAAAAATTTCGTACACTGCAACAAAGATTTGCATCCCAAACTCTTGATGACAACAGCTGGATTTTAGCTCCTTCTGAGTCTAGAGTAGGGGACTCACTCTTCTTACGGTCTGGAGAGGATGCTAGCAACAATTTTATTTGGCTGTTTTCAAGAACTTAATTATGTGGAGATTAAATGGGTGACCTTTCCCTGTCTCTTTTCTCCTTAACAACCCTTCGAAGGAAAGTTCCATGCTGCCCAAATGGTCAGGAAGTTTAATTTTGTCGACAAAAGAGACTGAAAAGCAGTAGCAAAGCCAAGGTACCACACGAAGGCTACAGACAAGAGCAACGGCGCAGAAACCATTATTTCCCCAGGGTTTATGTAAAAAGACAACCCAAGAATGAGTCTCATGGAGGCACAGACAAAACCAGCCCCAGATGAGGCTTTAAAGACATCTTTTAAATGAACTGTCTTGGTGTCCTACAGTTCATCAAAGGTTTTCTGTCTCTGAAAGGTCAGCCTTCTATCCCTTACCCTTTCTGAATCTCAGAGTCTCTTTTCATTTCTTCATTTCCAAAAGGTGAGCAGGTGCCTCTCAGGCCTAACAATCATGACTGCACAGTTCGAGGATTCTTAAGACAAATCATTACAGGGAATTCATGTGCAGTCTTTTGTCTATCTTGGGGATCCAAGCTTAAAAAAAAATAAAAATCAATACTTTTGGAATAGGTAGAGGTGTTGAAACCCTGATTAAATGAAATGAGGTTAAAAAAAAGTTGGGAAGACAAGGACCTCAGCCCCATTATTGATGAACAAAATAGCCCTTCTTTTGATTTGGGCTCTGTAGCTTTTAAAATATTTAGGTTCTAATAGCAATGCCCAGTCAACTTTGGTATCACCCAATTATAATCCTCCTCTGTTCTCTCAGCTCCTTCCAGAGGAACATGTGTGCGTGGTTCCCCACTCCAGTCCACAGAGGCTGGAGGGATGTGAATGTGTGATGCCTCCCCTCGCCAGTCCCTCTGAGGCTGAAGGAGAGCAAGCTGGAAACTGTTATACTCATCTGCTTTCTTTGCATTCTGATTTAGAGGAAAAATGCAGGTCCTGGTTGAGATTTTATTTGTAAAATAACTCATTTGTCCACTGGCATTACATGTCACACAAACAGTTGTAACTTGGCAGATGTATCACGCCGGATCACTCAACATTAGTGATTGCTTTTTCAGACAATGAATAAGTTTGTCTTTAAGGTGGAACCATAAATTAATAAATTAGTCTATAATGAGAATCATATTAAGTAAATGATATACATCTAGTGTGATGGTCAACTTCCAATAGATCTTTAACAATATCTGCCTTGTTCTGATCATCAAGCCTCATTTTCTGGGGAAATGGTTCCAGTCTGTGTGCACATGTGTGTGCACATGTATGTATGCACGTGTGCGTGCACATGTGTGTATGCACGTGTGTGTGCACACACTTGTGAGTGCATGTATATCCTTTATACTTTTATCTTGGTTCTGCAGAACGAACTTTGTAGATGAAAACACCAGCTCTCTACATCAGTCCAGCCACAGACATGGGTTAGCAGAGCCCTGTTTTTTCTGGATTCAGGATAAATTTTCTAATTTTATTTTCTGTATTGGGTCAGATAAGGTTACCTGACCTGGGCCTGGTGACTGGAGTACTTCCCCCATGAATGCTTCAGCTGTCGAATGTGACTTTCCTGGTTGACACTGTTGCTGGCCTGAGATTTCCTTGCTCACTGTCTATCACTGACCCCAAGGCCAAGCCATTCACACAGAGCCCACCAATCATGGTCCAGGCCAGTCACTCCAGTTTCTGGTGGGGAAGGTCCACTCTCCAGAACCTGAGGGGACAAAGCTTGTGTTTGACTGGCTTCCTCCCCCCTCCATGCACACCCTCTTCCTTCAGAGCCAGGGCGGAGTGACTGGAGTAACTGCTTACCCAGCTGCAGCTTTTCAGTGCACACCCTGCAACCATCACCTCCCACCAGGCAGGGCATGAAAACCAGGATCTTTAGAAACAAGACTCGGCGATTCCTAATGCCCCATAAAAATCCCAAGCAAAGGAAAGACACAGTAATCACCAATAGCCACCTACATTTATTGAGATTCCTGATATTTTTTAGATCATTCTGTAAGAGTGGGTGCAGGGATGTCACAGATACTGTGCTCAGGAGTCCCAAGCCAGCCAGAGATGCACACACATGTACACACATGCACAGGCATGTGCACACACACACAGTCCACATGTGTTAAGTGAACTCACATTTGCCCTCCACCTCCATATCAAGAGTGCTGAGGAATATCTTTGGTGGTTTGGTTCAGTGGATACAGCTACTTACACACAGGCTTGACGACCAAGTTTGAATTCAAGATCGCATGAGGTGACAGGAGAGGACTCCTGGGAGTTGTCCTCTGACCTCCACATTTGTGCTATGGCATGTGTAGTCTGCATGTTCACACACACACACACACACACACACACACACACACACACACACACACGAATTAATTATAAAGCACACTTAGGGGCCTGAGAGATGAGAAACAAGTAACATGCCAGCTACCCCAAATCTTAAAATGGAAGCCTCCCAAGCCAGATGACTACTCAGTGTCGATCAGTACTAAGAGCTCCTTCCAAAGGCAGTAATACCTTTTCCTGAGCCACACTAATGAGCTCATTTCTCTGGGCTGTAGCACACTTTCCCTGCACGCTGGAAGGGCTAGGGGTAGAGAGCCATTGACAGAAGTTTCGGTCCTGCCCTGTCCTGTAGCCATTCGGTTGCAAATAAACACACAGAGGGTTTTTTGTATTAACTAGAAACTGTTTGGCCTATTGCTCAGGCTTCTTAGTAACAAACTCTTACAACTTAAATTAGCTCCCAGTTCTTATCTATGTTTAGCCACGCGCCTTGGTACCTTTTCTCAGTAAGACATTCTCTCGTCTTGCTTCCTCTGCGTCTGGCTGGTGACTGCGTCTCTGCCTTTCCTCTTCCCAGAAGTCTCCTCGTCTAGTAGCCCTGACTATACTGCCTGCCTGGCTACTGGACAATCGTCATTTTATTAAATCAACAGCAGTGGCAAACCTTTACAGGGGACAAGAGCGATACCTCACATCAGATAGCTCTTTGCAGCTTGGTCATCCTCCAATATCAGCCCTGTCCCAGGAGCAGGTGGCCTGGCCCACCGCCTCTGAGTCAGGTCCTTCTACTTCCACACCCACTAACGTAGAAGACAGATCAGCCCAGAGCTCTGCCAATCAACAAGAGTGTTTTACGTCCAGTTTCAGATTGCTTCTTCATTTCCATGTGAGGCTGCTTGGAATGGTTCTAACCCTTCTTATTGCCGGAGAATTAGGAGTTAATAGGCTCTAACCCTTCTTAATGCTGGAGCACACGTTCACTAGCAAGATGGAAATCTTTTCCCAACCAGCTTCCGCGCACCTTCTGATGCAGTATTAGCTTTTCCTCTGTGTGTGTTCATCCTGACCTGGTGGGATCTAGGGTCATCATGGAAACAGACCTCTGGGCTTGTCTGTGAAAGTGTCTAGATTGTGTCCATGGAAGTAGGAAAAGCCTGCCCTGAACCTGAGTGGCACCATTCCATGGGACCAGGTCAAAGCATGACGCAACCTGAGAAGCAGCATCCATCTCTCTGCTTCCGGGCTGTGAGTGCCATGTGACCACCACCTGCCCTGATGACGTCACTCTTTCCCTGCCCACATGTGACCCAGAATAACCCTTGCCTTCCTCACGGAGCTTTAGCCGAGTGTGCTGCAACAACGCTAAGGACGGCAATGGACGGACACACACACCTAGCATGCACCTCAAAAGGCTTTCAACTCT